TAACTAATAGTGAAAACATAGATCCAACTCTAGGGTTGCATACACACATAGGATTGTTTGTACAAAACCCAACAGATATGTTATGTGATTAATCCCCAGCCACGTTTTGTGTGTTTTTGATGGGTGATGGCTGTCAAAATATAGTTAAGAACACTCTCATATATGTGGTAATTGGTGAGTAAGGAATGGTTAGAATTGAGTAATTGTCTTTCTATTTTCTCTTTGGTATCTTCGTTCATTATTTCTTTTGCTCCAATTCCAATAGATTCTTGTGTGATGTTTTTTATAAAAAGACCATGTTTTGAACCCCCCAAAAGGTCTTCAAATCAGTCCTTTAAGTTTTCATATGTGGCTAATGGTGGAGGAAACTCAAGCCCTTAATGGTGTTTTCTTTTAGCAATGTTTGAATCTGCAAGAAGTATTATTATTTGGCTTGGTGATTGTGCAAAGGTATAAGTTTTATATTTTTATAAGATAAGATTAAAACTTTATTGATTTTAAAATTTAGCAGGTTATAGACAACTCCTCTTGGACTGTGGTGTTCAACCATACCGCAAATTAGGAAGAACATCTTGTGAGTTCTTTTAGTATGTCAAATTGTCAAGTAAAGTCCCTGTATTTTGGCTTTTTTGCTAATATGAACCAAAACTTTTGTGTTTTTTTAAAATGTGTAGATTAAGACATCTCTTCAAGTTTTGACACAACAACGAGAAACGATAAGGTTATACCTGCAACCTTTTCTTTATAATGCTAAATGAAAGAAAAATAACTTTTTTTGTTATAAAAGGTGATGGTGAAAAGACAAAGAACAACCTTTCCTCCTAACTTTGTCCACTCTCTTGATGGGTCCCACATGATGATGATGATAGCCAATGCTTGTAAAGAGGCTGGCTTAAGTTTTGCAGGTTCAAAATCATTATTATTTCATATATTTTATTTCTCCGTTTTTTTCCATTAAAAATATATAAATTAAAATCCCATTTCAATTCCGCTTGATTCAGCCATGAAAAACCCTAATTCTACTCTCCTTAGAAGTGAATGGAGTCCTATTGCAATACCCCATAGAACTATCCTTGAACCCCAAGGTCAAGATCTTGATTACATCAACATAGCTCACAATCATCTTCTTCACTCTGATTGGGCTAAGCTAGATAAATTATTAACCAAATCTAATTCATTACGAGTGAAGCACATTCTGTTAAAGCTTCAAAACGACTACGTCATTTACCTAAAATTCTTCAAATGGATTGAGCTTCACAACCCTAGTTTACTCACCGTCGAAACAAATTCCATCATCCTTGACATCCTCACCAAGAATCGTAAATTTTGTGTCAGTTGAATCCATTTTAAAAAAGATCATCGGTTCTTGTTCTTGTGATGTAAACCACCATTCTAAGCTCTTCGATGTTGTTATTCACTCTTATCGAATGTGCGATTCCACACCTCGTGTGTTCGATGCCCTTTTCAAAAGTATGCACAGATGAAGTAGTTCAGGAATGCAAGAAAAACATTTTGTCGTATGAAGGAATACAGATTTCTTCCCACCATTGAATCATGTAACATGTATATGAGTTCACTACTTAGTTTCAATCGAGCAGACATCGCGTTACAATTTTACAACCAAATGAGAAGATCCAAGATCACAATCATTTTACAACATGGTGATGAATGCTTATGTTCAATTAGGGAAACTAGAGAATCCAGTCAAAGTGTTCGATGAAATGCAGGGTATGGGAATGAACCCTTTTGTCTCCTGCTACATACCATTGATCACTGCATACATCCCTCTTTTAACAACCGCAATCAAGTTGAAACTTACAATGGAGAAGAATGGAATCAACCCAAATGCCGTAAGTTACAACACAATAATCCATGGATTCTGTAAAGAAGGGAAACTACATGATGCTTTTAAAGTTTTCCATGAAATGAAAAGGGTAAATGTGGATCCTAATACTGTAACTTACAACACATTAATCACTGCATGTTCCCAATCAGGTAAATTCGAAAAGGGTAATCAGATTTTTTGAAAAAATGATAAGAACCAGGGTCAAACCTGATATTTTGACTTATAACGCATTGTTTTTGGGACTTTGTAACAAAGGAAAAACAAAGAAAGCTGCCTTATTTGGTTAAAGAACTTGATAAAAAGAATTTAGTACCAAATTCTTCAACATTTTCTGCCCTAATTAAAGCCCAATGTGCTCGAAAGAACCCAGATCGTGGTTTTCAACTTGATAAAAGCATGGTGAAAAGTAATTTGTTTCCAAATGAAGATACTGTGAAGATGTTGATTTTATCATTCTTGCAAACGGATGATTATGATGGTGCTTTTGGTGTTTTTAAAAGAGATGTTAGAGAGGCCTATTGGGCCTGATTTGGTTGTTTTGAGTGGGTTTTTGTAAAGGGTTTTCAAAAGCTTTGAAAGATAGATTGGTTATGGATCAATTAAGCGAGGTTGGTAATGGGTGTTTTAGTTATGAACGTTATGAGAAAGTGAAAAGCATTATTTGTGACTCTAACAATGAAGGTGAAGAACTTGAAGAAAATGTGTAAGTTGACTTATTTAATCATGACAAAAATGAATCCGAATACAGAATGTGTGTGGGAGCAAATAATGCGTTATACTTTGTAATGTATATTCAATAAAGCTTTAAAAGTTTTTGATGTATATCGAATTAAACTTTTATATTTGTGTTATCTATATCTATACTTCTATACATCTATATCTATATCTATATCTAGACATCTATGCAATTATATAAAGCATATTGCTTCTTTCTTGAATTTTTAAGAGGCATAAGTTTCACTTCTTAATGTACACATCAACTTTGTATATAAACTACTATGTGGCCATGATCCTTAAAGTAATCACTCCAATTTATATAGCTTCCTAAGCTTAACTCTATATATAGTTTTGAAGTAGCTGAAATAAAGATTGTGTAAGTAGCAATTGACTTTTTCATTATTTTATTTTCAAAATTTATGTTTATATTCTACCATATACACAAAGTACAATGCTATTTATGGTCACATCTGTTTTAGATACGAAAGAGGAATGGGTCGTGAAGGTTGTGCTATCATGGTTGTAGTTTTCTTGGTCTTGATAGATTTGTACTCTATATATTAAATATAATAATATTTTGCAAATTTTAGTTTTATTTCACATTAAATTATTAGTTTTATCGAAATTGGTAGTTATTACTTGTATAATCTTGACGTATAAAGTATATATTTTGTTTTATTTAGATCACACCCCATTTTGAACACATATGTGTTCTTTTATTTATATGTGTTATTGTGAGGAGGTTTAAAAATTATATTAGTTGATTATTTGAGACTTGAGAGCTCTTAGCTTTTGAGGATATTGATAGTTAAACAATTAGTAACTTCAGTTTTGTAATCATTCATGCATTTGGTTCATAGGAAATGTGAATAAATTGAATGTATATAATTACGTATTTTATTTTGTTTGGGTAGATGCACTTCCATTTAACCTTTCATTTTATTTGTTTAGAAGAAATGTTGGCTTAGAAATTAAATATTAAATATCTTTGATCTTTTTTTTTGAAACAACAATGAAATCTTTGTTGATGTTTGGATTGATTGTGATAAATAAATAATAAGATTAGAATTTATTAATAGATAAAAGATATAGCATCTTAATTACTTTTCATTTTTAATTATTTTTTTGCAAAGAAAAAAAAATAATAAGTTAAATATTTTGTGGAACACCTTTTTTAATTTTATTAAAATAGTCAATTTAAACTTTATAAAATTAAATGATATCTATCGATGGGTAGAGATCCTTACACGGTAACTTTTCCTTATAGACAAACTATTTATGTTTTATTAAGTTGTGCAATACAAATATTTATAAACGTAAATACCAATATTTAAAACATAAATAGTTATATACAAATCACTCTTTATCTATCATTTATATATCTTTTTAGCTGGTTAGTGGTAATTTTTTGTTTTGTAATGTGTTATCGACTTTTCATTCAACTGATTTCAACATACAACATAATACAAATGCACAATAATAACTATTAGTTATCATCGTTTTTATCAAAATGCCTAATGTCTAAGAATAAAAAAACTTAAAGCGTTATATAAATTGAAATTAAAGTATAAATATAATGTATATATAAAAATCGATATTCACAATAATGACTACTATTAATTTATATGATTTTTGAAAAAATGACTATCATTTATTAACTTAGAAAATAATTTCAAAAGCATAAACCACAAATTTTTTTTTTTTAAAAAATAAGAATTATTTTAATCGTTTATACTTTCCTATTTTTTATAATTTCAAAATACGAGTCATTTTTTATTCTCTTATCATAGGTCAGAAGACTATAAATATAAAACAATAGTATCTAATTTGTTGTCACACCCGCAAACCTGAATGGTAGAAACGTTCAGGGGCGGAGGACGTCATATTCAGTATCATAGCAATTGCATAGTAAGAAAAGTACACACCACTATATTATATAATTTATAAAGTTTACATGATTGTATTGGTTACATATTCAAAAGTAAATACATAAACATGTTCCCAAAAGATGTTATTAACGCCAGAGCGTAAATCTCCAAAAGTTGTTGCGTACCTGGCTTAGCGGTTTCCTGAGAATACAATTTATTTCCAGAAAAAGTGTCAACAATTAAGTTGGTGAGTTCATAAGTAGTGTTTTGAGAAAATGTATGCCATTCGAAATTTCGTGTATGTTTTCCAGAAAATTCCTTATTTTCTTATAAACGTATGAAATGAGTATGAAAAATCTTTGTATGAATTGTATGTATTTGAACCAGGAAAATCCATTATTTTTCCAAATGTGAATAGCAGTCTCAAATGACCAAGACCGAAAAGGTAAGCAACTGTGACATGCTTAAAAGAATGATGTATAGTTTTATAACATAAAACTATAAGAAGATTGTTATTGAAATGAAAAATAACATTAATAGTTACTTTTCCCAAGAAATCACAATACCATAATAATTGTCTATCTAGTGAGTTTTTATAACCATACTATCATATTTGCCTGTAGCAACGTTCTTCAAGCGTCGTAAAGTTATGACACTTGTCACCCAAAGGACTGTAGCTAACAGTCAGGATGCGGGATCATGACTCCCGTATAGATCTATACACACTTATCACGTTCTCCAGACGGGAGATTCTGGTTATAAAACAGGACTTTTGAAGGTACCTTTCAAAAAGGTAGATTGAAGACGAATGTCTCACGGATTCTCAATTAAGTCACGTATTGAAAATGATGATTTTGTATGAAATGATTATCCTTTTCTCAATGATAACAAAGGCATAATTTGTGTGTTCTTGAATGCATAAAAATGGTTTAGCAAAATGGTTACCCTTGATATGATGCATTTTTGTATAAATGAGGCTCCCAATATTATAGTTTCGTTTCATTCCATAAGGTTAAGACCAAGTAAAAGGTTTTGCATGTTAACGATTCCATTTTTATAGATAAGATAATCACATGCAAAGTATAGAAAAAGTTTCCATAGTTTCACTCGGGATTAACCGGGTGTTTACTTGTATTCTCCCCCGTAGTATGTTCAAAAGCATTTATAAAACATTTAAAAGTGCAGCTGCTACTGCAGCCGTGATGGCAGCCTGCACCATGGCTGGATCATAAGCTGGAGGTGGTGGTGGCGGTGTTGATGTTGCACAGTGTCTTCCTGATCTCCGAGGAGGCATCGCGCTGCTAAAGAAATAACAATAAAAGACCATAAGTCCTCGATGATCGGAAGCCGAGTGTTAATGAGTTGACTATTTTCAACAATCCATGAATTTGGCTCGACTTAAACAGGGTTTTGAGTTCGGTTCATAATTTAGAGTTTAAATATTAATAGATAAACTTACGAACTTGAGTGGAATGCAAAGAATTAACACACAAAAGAAATATGTCATATATATATTAAACATATGCTTGGGTTACATCCGAAGTTAGGAAAAATTGACCTTTCTAAAGGTCTTCGATTATAGGAAGTTAAAGAAAGTAAGACTTTTAGCCGATGGTCCTATTCTATATCAAAATTTGGCAGTCTGGCAAGTACTACTTGCGACGCGGGTTACGCTTGGAGCTTGACTCTGCGTCTGATTGCTTCTCTCCCATAAGACACCTGTCAAAGGCGGCTTGCTGCTGCCTCATCTCACTCTGCGTCTGATTGCTGCAGTCAACTGCTCTTGGAGGGTGTCGGTGTGGAGTTGAGCATTTTCCTGCAACATGTCCAGTCGACGGATATCAGCAGCGTTACCTTCCACCCCTATGTTGACTTCGCAAATCCGGTTCACTTGGACTCCGAATTTGTAAGACTGGTTGGCTAGTTTTCCCACAACGACAGGGAGTGCTCGGTCAGCTGAACTTCCACCACTGACGTTGTAGAAGTCCCAACACATGCCGTAGGGAGGGCGCAATCCTTGTTGCTGGCTCCAATGGTGGATGTGGCTTCCCCAGACGGGAGTTGGTCCCTAGAATCCCATCCTAACAGCAGGAGGTTTGACGGCTGGTGGATTGATTATCTCTAGTTCAGAGTCTGACTCTTCCTCTTCCTCCTCAGGGTCGTCTTCCACCCATCCACCGTTACCTTGATTGGGGTAGTAGGGGTCTCCGGGGTGATGGAATCCAGCCATTTGAATCTATACAAGAATAGGGTTAAGAATTGACTATAAACTAAAGCGCGTAAATTGAGTTCGCCTGTTTTTGTTACCAAATACTACTATAATATTTTAAATGTTATGTTTGACTTAAAGAGATTATGGTTTTGGTAAGTTTTCAACTTGTTGTCCACTGCAGACACTCCTTGGCACATGTTAGTTGGCTCTCGGACAAATATAGTAGATCAGACTATATTCATCCCAGTTCCGATTACATGTTCCAAGGCATACCTACATTGCACAACTCATTTATAATACTTCTATATTGTTATTATTAAGATACTGACCTTGATATGAAATGAATGCATGCATACTTTTAAAAGATTTCATTTGTAAAAGCATGACTCTCACTCAGAGTGTTTTTGCCCAGTTGTGTTTATATTTGTATACCAAAAATAGATTTGATATACTTAATTCACTACAAACAATGCTCTGATACCAATCTGTCACACCCCCAAACCTGAACGGCGGAAACGTTCGTGGGCGGAGGACGTCATATTCAATATCATAACAATTGCATAGTAAGGAAAGTACACACCCACTATATTATATAATTTGTAAAGTTTACATGATTGTAGTGGTTACATATTCAAAAGTAAATACATAAACATGTTCCCAAAGATGTTATTATCGCCAGAGCGTAAATCTCCAAAGTTGTTGCGTACCTGGCTTAGCGGTTTCCTGAGAATACAAGTTATTTCCAGAAAAAGTGTCAACAATTAAGTTGGTGAGTTCATAAGTAGTGTTTTGAGAAAATATATGCCATTCGAAAGTTCGTGTATGTTTTCCAGAAAATCCCTTATTTTCTTATAAATGTATGAAATTAGTATGAAAAATCTTTGTATGAATTGTATGTATTTGAACCAGGAAAATCCCTTATTTTCCCAAATGTGAATAGCAGTCTCAAATGACCAAGACCGAAAAGGTAAGCAACTGTGACATGCTTAAAAGAATGATGTTAGTTTTATAACATAAAACTATAAGAAGATTGTTATTGAAATCAAAAAAACATTAATAGTTACTTTTCCCAAGAAATCACAATACGACCTAATAATTGTCTATCCAGTGAGTTTTATAACCATACTATCATATTTGCCTGTAGCAACGTTCTTTAGGCATCGTAAAGTTATGACACTTGTCACCCAAAGGACTGTAGCTAACAGTCAGGATGCGGGATCATGACTCCGTATAGATCTATACACACTTATCACGTTCTCCAGACGGGAGATTCTGGTTATAAAACAGGACTTTTGAAGGTACCTTTCAAAAAGGTAGATTGAAGACAAATGTCTCACGGATTCTCAATTAAGTCACGTATTGAAAATGATGATTTTGTATGAAATGATTATCCTTTTTTCTGAATGAAAACAAAGGCATAATTTGTGTGTTCTTGAATGCATAAAAATGGTTTAGCAAGAATGGTTACCCTTGATATGATGCATTTTGTATAAATGAGGCTCCCAATATTATAGTTTCGTTTCATTCCATAAGGTTAAGACCAAGTAAAAGGTTTTGCATGTTAACGATTGCATTTTTATAGATAAGATAATCACATGCAAAGTATAGCAAAAGTTTCCATAGTTTCACTCGGGATTAACCGGGTGTTTACTTGTATTCTCCCCCGTAATATGTTCAAAAGCATTTATAAAACATTTAAAAGTGTAGAAATGGGGGTATGAACTCACTTGGTTAAAGTGTCGGTTTGATGAAGACGAGACTTGATTCAGACAGAGTTTCGACTGGAGGAAGCGGATTTCTCAGAAATCTCGGGAGCGTAAAACCTCTTTTCGGGACTTGAATATGAAAACCGGGATGTCGGGATGGCTTCGAGGGGGTTAAACGCAGAGCAAAAGCGCGAGAAAGAGAGGAATTGAGCAAAGAAACCCGGAGCCCTTGCACCGTTTTTATAGGGGCTGGAACCCCCTCGTACGCTGGGCGTACATTTGGATTACGCTGGGCGTAACGAACATCATCGCTTACGTACTTTGGATGGGAGGTCCGATGGGAGGTCTGCTGGCCGAAGGGACTACGCCCTTATCGCCTGGTACGCTGGGCGTAATCCTTTACGCGGGGCGTAAATGGATTTTCCAAACTTCTAAATTCCGTCACTCTCGCATACGAGCTCCGTTTTTGGCGTTCTTTATATCCACGCGTAGGTGAGACTGTACTCTACAACTTTCATTTAGACTCCCCTCACCTAGTTTTGAATTTATCTTTAATAATACATTTTTAACAGGCCGGGACTGGAAAAGTCCATTAAAAATCCGTAACTTCTTCACCCGACGTCCGTTTTCGTCTGTCTTTTTACCGTTGTATTACTATTGTCGAGGTCTTTAACTTTCGTTTAGGTTGTGTTGGCTAAAAATTGCTCGATCTCTATTTCGAGTTTTTAGCTGTCTACTGCGATTTCGAAACTTTGAAAAATCATAACTTCCTCATACGAAGTCAGATTTGGGGGTTCTTTTTATGTACGTTTACCGTTTAACAATATCTACGACTTTCGTTTAGATACCTAAGGCTACAAAGTATTTTATTGAAATTTTTTCGTTTTATTCTTAGCAACGTTTTACCGGTATTGTTAAGGATCTTCGATTGGCCATAATTTCTTCGTTATAACTCGGATTTTAGTGTTCTTTATATTTTTGGAAACCTTATTACGATATCTACCACTTAGTATCCTCAAACTGAGCTTTTGAACATTTCATTTTTGACGCTATTTTATTACTTCATAAGATATTACAATAGTTGACTTTCAGTCATTACATTGACCTGGAATAACGGGTTGTTACATTTGTGAAGTAATGAAGGGGGTAAAATTAGCATTAAAAGAAACTTAATTTGTGAAGGTATCTAAGGTTAGGAAAGAAAGGAGAAAGTTCAATGTCTAGGGACTAATCCTTAAAAATTCGTCCAAAACACCCCCCCCCCCAACAAGAAAAAGTTCAAAGCCCAGGACCAAATTGGCATTACAAGAAACTTTATTTGTGAAGATACCTCCAAAAGTTTTTTTGCGACTGTTCTGGCCTTTACGCACGGATTAATGGATTAATCTCAAAATCGATCCTTTGCATCGCTCGACAGCAGCATAGGAAAAAAAAGGCGAGGTAGGGTGGAGAAGGGAAGAACGAACTGAGAAGAGAGGGGGAAAGAAGGGTCTACAAGTGTCGATTCTTGAAGGTATGTTGAGGCTGCGAAATCGACTTATACAATCCGGTAGTTCCTTTCTTTAACTCGTCTTTTGATTTCAGGTTTCAATTGCTAGTGATTGGATTCAAGCAATCTCATTCTTCTTACTTCCAATCCTTGATATGTTATGTGATTAATCCCCAGCCACGTTTTGCGTGTTTTTGATGGGTGATGGCTGTCAAAATATAGTTAAGAACACTCTCATATATGTGGTAATTGGTGAGTAAGGATTGGTTAGAATTGTAGAATAATTTTCTTTCTATTTTCTCTTTCGTATCTTCGTTCATGATTTCTTTTGCTCCAATTCTCATAGATTCTTGTGTGATGTTTTTCTATAAAAAGACCATGTTTTGAAACCTCCAAAAGGTCTTCAAAACAGTCCTTTAAGGTTTCATATGTGGCTTAATGGTGAAGGAAACTCAAGCCCTTTATGGTGTTTTTTCTTTTAGCAATGTTTGAATCTCCAAGAAGTATTATGAGTTGGCTTGGTGATTGTGCAAAGGTATAAATTTTATATATTTATAAGATAAGATTAATACGTTTATTGATTTTATAAATTTTGATTGGTTATAGCAATGAAAAACAATCCAGTACAATGGACAACTCCTATTGGACTTCCTGTTATTCAACCATACCGCAAATTAGGAAGACATCTTGTGAGTTCTTTTAGTATGTCAAATTGTCAAGTAAAGTCCCTGTATTTTGGCTTTTTGGCTAATATGAGCCAAGTCTTTTTTGTTGTTTTTTTTGAAATGTGTAGATTAAGACATCTCTTCAAGTTTTGACACTACAACGAGAAACCGATAAGGTTATATCAGCAACCTTTTCTTATTTTTGCAAAATGCAAGAAAAATAACTTTTTTTTGTTATAAAAGGTGATGGTGAAAAGACAAAGAACAGCCTTTCCTCCTAACTTGGTCCACTCTCTTGATGGGTCCCACATGATGATGACAACCATTGCTTGTAAAGAGGCTGGCTTAAGTTTTATAGGTTCAAAATCATTATTATTTCATATATTTTATTTCTTCGTTTTTTTTCCATTAAAAGTATATAAATTAAAATCCCATTTCAACTCTGCTTGATTCAACCATGAAAAACCCCTAATTCTACTCTCCTTAAAAGTAAATGGAGTCCTATTCCAATACCCCATAGAACTATCCTTGAACCCAAAGGTCAAGATCTTGATTACATCAACATAGCTCACAGTCATCTTCTTCACTCTGATTGGGCTAAGCTAGATAAATTATTAACCAAATATAATTCATTACGAGTGAAGCACATTCTGTTAAAGATTCAAAACGACTACGTCATTTCCCTAAAATTCTTCAAACGGATTGAGCTTCACAACCCTAGTTTACTCACCCTCGAAACAAATTCTATCATCATCCACATCCTCACCAAGAATCGTAAATTTGTGTCAGCTGAATCCATTTTAAAGAAGATCATCGGTTCTTGTTCTATTGATGTAAACCTCTATTCCAAGCTCTTCGATGCTGTTCTTCACTCTTATCGAATGTGCGATTCCACTCCTCATGTTTTCGATGCCCTATTCAAAATGTATGCACAGATGAAGCAGTTCAGGAATGAAAGAAATACATTTTGTCGTATGAAGGAATACAGATTTCTTCCCACTATTGAATCATGTAACATGTATATGAGTTCACTGCTTAGTTTCAATCGAGCAGACATCACGTTACAATTTTACAACCAAATGAGAAGATCCAAGATCACAATCAATGTGTTCAGTCTCAACATGGTGATGAATGCTTATGTTCAATTAGGGAAACTAGAGAACGCAGTCCAAGTGTTCAATGAAATGCAAGGTATGGGAATGAACCCTTTTGTCTCCTCCTACAATACATTGATCACTGCATACATCAACCAAGGCCTTTTAACAACCGCAATCAAGTTGAAACTTACAATGGAGAAGAATGGAATAAGGCTAAATGCCATAAGTTACAACAGAATAATCCATGGATTTTGTAAAGAATGGAAACTACATGATGCTTTTAAAGTTTTCCATGAAATGAAAAGGGTAAATGTGGATCCTAATACTGTAACTTACAACACATTAATCACTACATGTTCCCAATCAGGTAAAATCGAAAAGGGTAACTCATTGTTGTTGGGACTTTGTAACGAACGAAAAACCAAGAAATCTGCTTATTTGGTTAAAGAACTTTTTAAAAAGAAATTAGTACCAAATTCTTCAACATTTTCTGCCCTAATTAAAGCCCAATGTGCTCGAAAGAACCCAGATCGTGGTTTTCAACTTTATAAAAGCATGGTGAAAAGTAATTGTCGTCCAAATGAAGATACTGTGAAGATGTTGATTTTATCATTCTTGCAAACGTATGATTATGATGGTGCTTTTGGTGTTTTTAAAGAGATGTTAGAGAGGTCTATTGGGCCTGATTTGGTTGTTTTGAGTGGGTTGTGTAAAGGGTTTTCAAAAGCTTGGAAATATAGGTTGGTTATGGATCTATTAAGCGAGGTTGATAATGGGTGTTTTAGTTATGAACGTTATGAGAAAGTTAAAAGCATTATTTGTGACTCTAACAATGCAGGCAAAGAACTTGAAGAAAATGTGTAACTTGATTTATTTAATCATGACAAAAATGAATCTGAATACAGAATGTGTGTGGGAGCAAATAATGCGTTATACTTCGTAATGTATATTCAATAAAGCTTTAAAAGTTTTGACGTATATCGAATTAAACATTGATATTTGTGCTATCTATATCTATGCTTCTATACGTCTATATATATATATATATATATATATATATATATATATATATATATATATATATATATATATATCTATACATCTATGCAATTATATAAAGCATATTGCTTCTTTCTTGAAAATTTAAGAGGCATAAGTTTCACATCTTAATGTACACATCAACTTTGTATATAAACTACTATGTGGCCATGATGCTTAAAGTAATAACTCCAATCTATATAGCTTGCTAAGCTTAACTCTATAAATAGTTTTGAAGTAGAAGAAATAATTGTGTATGTAGCAATTGACTTTTTTATTATTTTATTTTCAAATGTTTATGTTTATATTCTACCATATACACAAAGTACAATGCTATGTATGGTTACGTCTGTTTTAGATACAAAAAAGGAATGGGTTGTGAAGGTTGTGCAATCATGGTTGTAGTTTTCTTGGTCTTGATAGATTTGTACTCTATATATTAAAGATAATAATATTTTGCAAATTTTAGTTTTATTTCACATTAAATTATTAGTTTTATTGAAATTGGTAGTTATTACTTGTATAATCTTGGTGTATAAAGTATATGCGTTGTTTTATTTAGATCACACCCCATTTTGAACACATATGTGTTCTTTTATTTATATGTGTTATTGTGAGGAGGTTTAAAAATTATATTAGTTGATTATTTGAGACTTGAGAGCTCTTAGTTGTTGAGGCTATTGATAGTTAAAGAATTAGTAACCTCAATTTTGTAATCTTTCATGCATTTGGTTCATAGGAAATTGAATAATTGAATGTAATTTAATTAGTTCAATGTTTCTAACTATATAAAATTATGTATTTTATTTTGTTTGGGTAGATGGACTTCCATTTATCCTTTTGTTTTATTGATTTAGAAGAAATGTTGGTTTAGAAATTAAATATTAAATATCTTTGATCTTTTTTTTGAAACAACAATGAAGTCTTTGTTGATGTTTGGAATGATTGTGATAGATAAATAATAAGAGTAGAATTTATTAATAGATAAAAGATATAGCATCTTAATTACTTTTCATTTTTAATTATTTTTTTGTCAAAGAAAAAAAAATAATAAGTTAAATATTTTGTGGAACACCTTTGTTAATTTTATTAAAATAGTCAATTTAAGCTTTATAAAAATAAATGATATCTATCGATGGGTAGAGATCCTTACACGGTAACTTTTCCTTCTAGACAAACTATTTATGTTTTATAAAGTTGTGCAATACAAATATTTAAAACGTAAATACCAATCTTTAAAACATAAAGAGTTATATACAGATCACTCTTTATCTATCCTTTATATATCTTTTTAGCTGGTTAGTGGTAATTTTTTCTTTTGTAATGTGTAATCGACTTTTCATTCAACTGATTTCAACATACAACTTAATACAAATGCACAATAATAACTATTAGTTATCAGCGTCTTTATCTAAATGACTATTGTCTAAGAATAAAAAAAACTTAAAGCGTTATATAAATTGAAATTGAAGTATAAATATTATGTACATATAAAAATCAATATTCACAATAATGATTACTATTAATTTATATGATTTTTGAAAAACTGACTATCATTTTTATTAACTTAGAAAATAATTTCAAAAGCATAAACCACAAAAAATATTTTTTTTAAAAAATAAGTAGATTATTTTTAATCATTTATGGGTAATTAGATTTTTGAAGAAATGATAAGAACCGGGGTCAAACCTGATATTTTGACTTATAACGCATTGTTGTTGGGACTTTGTAACGAAGGAAAAAACAAGAAAGCTGCTTATTTGGTTAAAGAACTCGATAAAAAGAAATTAGTACCAAATTCTTCAACATTTTCTGCGCTAATTAAAGCCCAATGTGCTCGAAAGAACCCAGATCGTGGTTTTCAACTTTATAAAAGCATGGTGAAAAGTAATTGTCGTTCAAATGAAGATACTGTGAAGATGTTGATTTTATCATTCTTGCAAACGGATGATTATGATGTGCTTTTGGTGTTTTTAAAGAGATGTTAGAGAGGCCTATTGGGACTGATTTGGTTGTTTTAAGTGGGTTGTGTAAAGGGATTTCAAATGTTAGGGTGCAAAGTCATGCTTGGATGTGGAGTTTTGAGTTTTCCCTTTTGTATGTGTAAATGGGTTGAGTCTTTCCTATAAATAGGAAGTGAGTGACTCTCATTATGCAAGGAACCATTTGGAGTGTTAGACTAGAGAGAGAAACTTGTACAAACCCATTTGTATATCCTTTCTAGATCTAATATAAGCTTACAAAGATTTATTTACTCCTTATGTTCTTGAGTTTACATGATGATTCACTAGATCTATTCTAATTTCGCACATGCCATCATAATCAACACCACTACAATTGGTATCAGAGCGGGTGTTCTTGATTTGATCAGGAATTGATCCATGGTGGCAATCTTGATTTGGTGATTCTTCATGTTCTTATTGATCTTCGTGATTAGAGAGTGTTGTGTGTTCTAGAAGTCGAATTTTTCCTTGATTTGATCCATGAGTCGACTTTCTCTCTCTAGAATACTTGTTTATATCACTTTCTCTCTCTAGAAAACCCATTAAAAATCACTTTCTCCCTCTAGAAATTTTCAAGTTTTTGTGATCATGGTGGATTTGCCGTATGATTCTTGGATTGTGATCGTTAAAGATATAAAATACAAAGTCAATGAAGATCAATTTTATGGGTTGGTGTTAAGCAAATTGATTTCATGGGGTAATATGGTTTCTTATGGAGGTTTGAAGGATGATCATGGAAGCTTGATTTTTCAACCACTTTGTAAGATTTCATGGTTGAATAAAATTGCCTTGTCCATATTAGTCCGTAGTAGAAATCAAAAGGAAGGAGAAGAAAGAGATTTGTTCAATAAGAAATACATTTCTCTAATTGAGAACCCAAATGATCTTCGTGCTCTTAAGTTTGTTGAAGTTCTTGACAATGGAGTTCAATGTGATGTTCTTGATGTTCAAGAAAAAGGAGTTCAAGTTGATTTTCAAGATGAAAAGGTTTTTTGCTCGATTGGAGTTCAAACCGATGATATTTTGTGTTCTTGTGATTCGTTTGAAGGAATGGTTCCTTATCGGAAGCCGGTGATCCAAGAAATTCACAAGTATCAAACTCCAAAAGATTTGATTCAAACTCAAGAAGTTGTGAAAAGTGGGTTTGTTCATGGAGTCAAGTCTTCAAGATGCAAAAAGATGAGAAAGAAAAAGAAGAGGAAGATTAATCGCAAAAACAAGCGGGTTTACTCACAAAAATCGTCAAATGTTGTGAAGCCAAAATCCGTGAAGCAAATTTGGATTCCAAAGCAACAATCTCCAAAGGTTGCATTGAATTTGAAGTCAAAACCCAAAAGTGTTGGTGGTTCTTTTGAAGATGTTCTTGGTTTGATGAAGAACATGAAGAACACGAAGAACGAGTTGTACATCTCGCATAATGGGTGGTACAATGTTCAAATTGGATATTTTCTCATTCCAACAAAAGAACCAAGATCTTCTAAATTTGATTCGTTCGTTGAAAACGGAACTCGATTCGTCAAAAAGGTATCTCAAATTTTCAAATGGATTCCAAAACATCCATGATTTCGATTCGTACTTTGCGTTTTTCAATTTTTGATCGATTTGTCTCATTGGATCAAATCCGTTTCTATTGCTGATCCAATTATTTTTTTAGATCAAATCATTCAATCAAAATCTGTTTCAATTTTTGAGCCCAAATATTTAGCCTAAATTCATTTTGGATTCATTTCATTTGATTCAGCCCAATTCAAATTACATTAGCCCAAGTCAATTTAAATTTGACATATTATGTTCATGAAACCCAAATTAAAGATCAGGTACAGTTCATATCGGATCATTGAGCCCAAATTTAAACTGCTCGTACACAATAAGTTAGATCCGATGAACTGCTCATTCGTAATAGTTCGATTCTTGAGTCGCATGTTCTGTATCGTTGTTGGTATCGATTCCATTTGTTTCATAGATTTATGAAAATCGACATTATTTCTTCGATTTCATCTCGTATTAATGAATTTGGAACCGATCGGAAGATTGACTTGAACTGGTTCTTGGACAGTATTCCAGAAAAAGGTATTTGATCTGAAAATCGATTTGAAGGAAATCGATTTGTTGTTTGTCGATTATTGATTGACAAACCGATGATTGTGAATGAGAAGGTAGAATCGAATTGCACTTTTGGCAACGAAAGTCTCTTTGATTCAAAACGAATTTGATTTGAGTTGACTATTGAAGTCAAACTGTGTTCTATTGAAGTCGAAATCACAGTTGACAGTTGAAGTTTGGAAGGATGTCAGTGGTTGTAATATGGTTTCGAATGTTTGATATCAAAATGTTTTACAATCGAATGGTGTTACAGTCGCATGGTTGGTAATCGATAGTGAATTTGGTGTTTGGAGTCGATTGAAGTTATGTAAAGTAGGTTATTTTGATTTCGATTTGGATTTTGATAAGTCTGTAAAAGCGAAGTCAACTGATAACGAATGTGAATGGTTTGATTATCGATTTTGGGTTTGAAATCGTTGGATGTATACTGATTTCATGATAGATGGTCGAATGTATTGATTGATATTGGAAGTCGATTGAGAAAGAAGACTGCGAAATCGGTTTGGGATATTTGATAGTCGATAGTCGCCATGGTTTTGGATTTGTATCGATAATGTATATTCGATTCGACTGAAATTGTGTTGGAGTTTATTTGATGAAATTGATTTCGAAGGCTTCTTGATTTTTGTGAGGTGTCGATGATCGATACTTGTATATCGATATTGTTAGTCGACTGAATCAGGAGGAACTGGAAATCTAATCTATGTGATTTCAATTTTG